GGTGGTTTTAGAGACTGGCTTCCACCCAGATTTATTCTTCCCTTTCCACAGTAAAAGCACTTTGAAGTCAGGAATTGTGAAACTAAAAGGAAATAGAAACTGATAAGCTGTTATAATTAAAAAAAAAATCTCAGAAATAATATGGGAAAGGAAGAAAACAATCAACATTCAATGGGTATAGAGACATATATTGGCTATTTTACCTGTTATTAAACTGGCATATAAGTATCCAGATATGTGGAAAGAAATATGAGAGGGCCGTACTCTCACAGCTGTTGGTGGGCTGGCTAACACTCCCTGACAGCTGGCTGGGGACTGCCATTACTGCCCCATCTGCCACAGGCCACGATGAACCTTACAGAGACCTCTGCAGAAACTGTAATTTCACAGTCATCTCTGTTTATTAGTATTTGCTAAATATTAGACTTTTCCTAAGATAAGGATCGTCAAAAGAATGCATGTGATGTTCTGGGGAGAAACCTCTTTGTCCTCAATTTTCTTGAGGGCTTCTATTTCTACAGTTATGGTACCTTCCTTTCTTATTGACCTATGTGAGTTAATACGTGCTGCTTCCCAAATTGCTGTATTTATTATCACATTCCGTTGGACTACAGACCTAGTAAGGCTTGTATTATTATCATATTGTCACAAATTCAAAAACGATACCTCCACAGTATAGTAAATGCCCCATAATAATAAGTGGAACACAATAAAGAGCAGTGAAACTCTCCCTGGTAGGGCTCTCTCAAATCTCAAAAGTTGATAGGATAACCTAGGAAATAAAACCGTCGTGTTTTTAGTTTAAATTTACTTTCATCTTCCTTCTTCTCTGAAGTTCATAGTACAGTATAAATTATTCTCTAACAAAACATTTAATAAATGTTGTACCCGTCTTACTATACCAAAGAATAGAACTTTACAGCTAAATCACACACATTCAAATGCTTTAATTATTATGTATAGAATTCCATTACTGTCAGGAGTACATTTAAGCAGGTTGGTGGATTCAGGAGCTTAGGTAAAAGAAGTGGGGAGGGAGAAAAGAACGGATCCAGAACAGAAATGCAAGCTGCACAGCGTTATCATTACGTTTGAGGAAAAGGAATCAGAAACTTCATTAGCATGCAGACATTGAAAAGTAGCTTGAAAAATCTGAGAGAGATTCACTGAATAAGATAACCTAATGGATTTTTAAGGAAAATAAACTTTCATTCTTAATGCATTTGGAATTTTTCCCCCTTTGATGCTTAGATGATAATGTTTCAGAATTTTATCTGACGGAAATGGAGGTCATAGGCAAACATACGTTAATCTGTCACCTACCATAACTTCTACCATTATCAACGACTCTGAAATTAAATCTATTGCCTTAATTCCTTATACAGAACATATACAAATACATCAAGTTCCCTATCAGCAGACAGACAATGATTAATAATTTAAACTATTTTAATTCAGTTATTTTAAGGTTTGTTTTTTTTTTTTTTTGAGACAGTTTCACTATGTCTCTTTTGGTAGAGTGCTGTGGCATCATGGCTCACAGCAACCTCAAACTCTTGGGCTTAAGCAATTCTCTGGCCTCAGCCTCCCAAGTAGCTGGGACTATAGGTGCCTGCCACAGCACCTGGCTATTTTTTGTTATAGTTGTCATTCTTGTTTAGCTGGCCAGGGCCAGGTTTGAACCTGCCACCCTCAGTGTATGTGGCTGGCACTGTAACCACTGTGCTATGGATGCCAAGCCATTATTTTAAGTTTCTTAACCTACTAGAGATAAAGTCTCTTATAACAGAAACCATAACATTATAATACCATCATCATTACTTTTCTACAACACTTTCCAGCATAATGAAGACATTAATATTTTCAGTGTTTTTATTCTCACAACAAAAGGGCACAATTATTGTCTCCTAGTACTAAGTGGTTTGCTAAAACCCAGTTACATTTAGTGACTTTCTCACAGTCAAAAAGCTAACTAAGTGCCTTTCTAGAACCAGAACACAGGCTTCTGACGTTACAAAATGGACATCAAAAAAAGATCCTAATACGTGGCTGGATTTCCACGTAAACTAAAACTTTACACCTCAAATAGATGGTTGTAAGGAGAGGAACTGATCAGTTCTAAAACCTACTTGGCAAAAGGCAATTTTCCTCCAATTTCCAAACCTCCGATTTCAGTTGCTTTGGAATTCCTGACTTTGCCCACATACAAAAAAGTTATTTTGCTAGCTGACTTTTAGAAAACATTTCAAAGC